CCCATTGCCATGCTTAATTACCATTACCTTTACACTTATTGTTGGTATTCTCATTACCATCATTATCATTATTATGTCTCAACCAAAAAAAAAACAAAAATGTACAGTATTAGTGAGCAATTGAAAAAGAGAAATTTGTATATATTACCAAGAAAACATTCAGAAAACTCATCATTGAATATTTATAGGTCATCAGTAACAAAAATTTTACATGATAAAAAAAAATGGCTAAATGATTCATCTTAAGGTTGTGGGTGAAACCTCCTTAGTAATTGCTGAAACCACGGCAAAACTATATTAAATCTTATCAAAAATACTGTTGAAACTATGCTGAAATGGCGAAACCTCAAAATGCAAAACTCTGCCAAAACTCTAATAAACAATTAATGTGTAACCTGTCAAAACCCTGCTGATTGATTTCTGGATGAGTTTCAGCAAGCAACCTTACTTCATCTACAACTCATCATAATGCTTTTTGCTGTAGACAAGTGAGGTTTCCTGAACTAGAAAAAGCAATGAACATATGGATTGGACAAGTCAGTGCAAGTGGCCTAACCATTGTTGTTGTTTTTTTTATATAATAATTATTATTTTTTTTATACATATATCTATCTACTTGGGATGTTAAATAAAATAAAAGATTTATTATAATCACCTAATTTTTTAAAATTACATAGTAAGTGATTATATGGGAGAAATCCTATATAGTCACATTCAGTTATAATCACCAACAATTTGCATTCCCGACGTTGTGATTATATAGGAGTCTGACTGTACCAAAACTTCATCCTTTATTTTGATTGGGTATAAATATGACTATTTTATAGTTAGCGTGCCCCGGATCCTAGTAAAAGGTTACTAATACATTATTTTTTTTTATTATCCTTTTTTTATTTTATTTTTTTTAGAATGCCAAGTACAATTAGTGAATAATAATTATCCTACTCTGTTAAATTTACCAATAATCATTCATAATAATACCAATAATAATAATAATAATCCATTAAACTTCAACTTCAAAACATTAGAACTAAATCTGAGATAGGTGAGAGTACTTTATAAGAAATAATGAATTTCAGAAATGCCTGTATTTGTATTTACATATAATGGAATTGGAAAAAAATTGACTGGAACTTTAAAAAATCACAACAGAATCAGACATCCCAATGATAAAAATAAGTTAACCAACTTAAATTTTGATGAAACTTGTAAAGAAAACTTTGTGTGCCATATTAAGTGTTGTAACCCTCAAGTGTTCATATGTTTGTAATAAAAATGGTTGATGCTCAGATTTACCTAATTTGGGTTGTCCTTAAAAAAGAAATGATAAACAGTTATGACAACCATCAAATCATACAGCCCTGTCGTAACTACGAGTTGTGTTCTGTCTACAATATGTCTGCCTGCGCCCTTAGTCGTAAGAATATTATTAAAAGTCAAATAATTTACAAATAAACGACAACATAGATAGCAAGTTCATGGTGAGACAATCATTAAAGTACATAATTTTATGAAGAGGTTTGTAATTCTATAATCTTATGGGATATTTCAATCACAATTAGTTGGATTTTATGCGCCACAACTTGATGTGGAACTCCACCTATTTGATGCAACAATTCAAAACACAAGCAAAGATGAAGAGGATAGATAGTAGTGATGATGATGTTTAAAATAGCTTTAATCATTGGAACAAATAATTTGTTTTTTTTAAAAAAAAATTTTTTCATTTTATTATAAAGTGACTTGATAATTTGACCACCAATAAAAAATTATAAAACTGCGATTAAACTTGGGTTTGAACCCACGATAGTAAAACCCGCTGATAGGCGTGGTTCATTAGTGCTAGCTAAACTGGTGGTTTATAAACCAAACCCGAACCTAATACTAATAGAAGATTTTGTGACGTTCAACATTTTGTGCCATAAAATCATTTTTGTGTCACTTTGCACAGTTGAGCCATGTATTTTTTGTGCCTTTTTCTCCATAGAAAGTAATTTATATTAATATTTAATATTAAAATACAAATAATGACTGAAAAAAGAAGTTCATTATTTATGCATTATACATTATTATTATAGAAAGAAAGGGCCATTATTGTAAACTTTTTTATTACTTTGCATAATAATAATAAATATAAACATTTATGTAGGGTTACGAATACAAAGTCCAAAAACTGTAAAATTTGATTTTTCTATAAAAGCGATCTGGTTATAAGAAATACCATTGGCGTTTACTGCGTTGTACCACAGACATTATTATTTGTTCCCGATATTACGTCATAATAATAAATTACAAATAAGAACTTACTATATTATTATAATTCACTCTCCTCAAATCACAGTTTCTTCAAAAAATAATAATAAATAAGCTCTTTCTTATTTTGATATTTGACCCTACTCGTTCAATATCATTAAACTAATTTTATAACTACACAAATATAATAAATCTTATTAAAACAAAACAAATCCAACAAAAGTTTTTTTTTTCCTGAAGATATAAAGAGTATCTTCTAATAATTGCAATTTGCCTCCTTAATATGTCCGCTGGTCTTGATATGTCACTCGACGATATTATTGCAAAAAAGAGACCTTTTACAAGAGGTGGTAGTAATAGATCTTTTGGTGTTGGTTCAAATCGTGGAGCTAGAAGTAGTGGAAATAATAATAATGGTACTATGAGACGTTCAGGTGGACCAATCAGAAATTCAAGAACACAAACTAGACATCGACCATATAGTTCTTCAGCTGCAACAGCTAACATCAACTCTATAACTGAAGGAAAAATTTTAGTTTCTAACCTAGCTTTTAAAGTCTCTGAGGCAGATCTTTGGGTAAATATTTTATTAAAAAAAAATAAAACTGTCTTAAAATAAATAGTTTTAAAAAAAAGACAAGGCACATTTATATAATAATAAGTGAAATAATAAAAAGAGAGGAGGCAAATCAGATTCTTTGGTGCCAAAGCTTTGACGACCTTTGTACGAATATTATTTATATACATACATATACATATATATATATATATATATCGTCAATGGCCATTCTTCACAATAAAAAAAAATGCAAAGAAAGATTATTATTTTATATATATGTCTATTAGAAATTTATATAATTATATAAACACACACTTATCAATCCACCTCATCACAAAAAAAAATATATCATTTGACACACACTATATATATATATATATATATATATATATATATATTATATATATCTGTATGTAACAACACCAGGAACTTTTTACAACGATGATCGGGCCTGTACGTCAAGTCAACCTTAACTTTGATCAAAATGGACGTTCAAAGGGAACAGCATCTGTCGTTTTTCAAAAGAGCACTGATGCCGTCAAATCAGTGGAGAAACTTAGAAATGTTACTTTAGATGGTTGGTGAATTAAATCTTAAAAAAACACAATCTTTTGATCCTTTAAATATAATACAATAATAATAATAATAAATCAAAATTAAAACGACTGCAGTTTTTTTTTTGGTATATTATTCAATATTATTAAAAAATTACATGAATATTAATATAATTTTGAATTTTGTTAGGCCGTGAAATTAAAATCGAAATTGTTGTAGCTCCCAACTCTCCAATTACTCAACGTATTGGTGGGCTCAATGAGTAAGTTGAATATTATTAATTATTATTATTATTATTATTATTATTATTATTATTTATTATTTCCAAATTAATTAATTTTATTAATAAATGAAATAATCTTATATAGAAATCGTACTTCTTCATCTCCCTCAACACGTGGCATTAATGGAAGTGCACGCGGTACTAGGGGTGCTACTCGTGGAGGGTCTAGAGGCGGCAGAGGAATTGGTGGTAGAGGAGGAGCTCGTAGACCTGACAATAGACCAAAGAAAACCCAAGATGAATTAGATGCAGAAATGAGCGAATATATGCAGATTGACGAGGTATATATAGATATTTTTTTTAAAAGATATATGTGTGACGATGATGACGACAATTCATTTGTTTATTTATTATTATTTATTTTGTTTTTTTGAAATTAGGGTTTGGAACCAGTTAACGTTTAAATGAAATGAAGTATGATTGATTTGGTTAAGAGATGATTATCATTATTTATCAATTAATAAAAAAAATTATTATTTTCAATTAAATTTTATTTTATTTATATAAATATATACCTTGCTCACATATATATATATATATATATATATATGCAATT